GCTTAGTTTAGATTTACTTTCAATACAGCCCTTACATTTTTGCCCTCCTTTCTTACTATCCAGACCTCTTGTTCCTCAGCTTCCCATCTGAAGCTCTGATTTGTGATGCATCCTTTAAAGTCTTCAGAAACATGGGCATATCAGCTGCATTTCATTGAATTGGGAATAATAATAAAAAGGGGTAATTTTCTAGAATAAAAACAAAAGAAACTGTCTTTTCCGGTTCAGTTACAGAGAACAGAACACCCACTGCACATCCTACTCCAAGGTACTCTACTTCCTTTTACCTAGATGTTAATGAAGTTGCAAAATATATAGTATTGTAAAGAGCACCGGGGTTAACAGCACAGTCATTTGCAGTCAGGTTTTAAAAAGTAGATGTAAGCAAAAAGGTAGGAACAGTGAAATTCAATTAAGGAACAAGTAGGGGGTGGGGGTCTTAGCTCCAGTGTGAGGGACCCAGCAATAAGACCATCACAACAGCTAAACAAAGGCAGACCAAAGGTCTCCGTAGTCCAGCAGCATGAGTGGCAGAAGATGACTTTGGAGGAGCACAAGAACAGAGCAAACACACAGTGATACTAATGCACAAATACACATAATTTGTGGCAGCCTGCGGTTTAAGGACCTCTTAAACAGAGAATTATTATCAACCCAAAAGAACAGTGTGTGGCAGGAGAAACAAACAGACCATAATGTAGCAACTGTCTGCTGGCCACTGGAGACCCTCGCACGCTCGAGGAAAAGGCGAACCATGTGTTTGTATCAACACAGGTATCCTGGAGGTCTCATATGTAGGGACTGTCCTTCTTTCCATTCCTCCTCCTTTTCACTTCTGCTCGTGGAAAGACACTGCCCCTCCTGCCACAATTAGGGCTTGTTAAAGACACTATGAAATCCTAAGGATGTTACCTGAAGAGTGGGGCATTGCAGCACACGCAGTAGTATATTCCTGATTCTGTGTTATTCAGATAGATCCCACTAAATGGCTTTTAAAAAGGAAGGAAAAAAGAGAAGTTAATAATGCAGGTCTTTGAAAGCTCACCATCTGGAACAAGCATGTAGGAATCAGATTCAAAACAGGAGAAAAACCATAAAAAGAAGGCTTCACAGGGGGGCTTTGAAGAACAAACATTAGCAGCCCAAAGAAATGAAGGGGAGGATGCCTTTGGATTAATAGTGAAGAAAGACTACCCCCTACCCCCGGAAACCTTGAAACCAGTCAGATGCATAAATCATCCAGGTACCAGGGATGGAGTCGTGACCTCTGAGGAACTGGTGAAATGTGCAGGATCCCAAAGACCATGGCTCTGCTACGGAGTGCCACAACTTTAAAGTGGCTCTACAAAGGGACTCTCCTCCTTCCTGCATGGTCTGGAACTCAGATCTTTATTTTATAGATATGAATTTGGGCAGTTAACTGATTTAATCCCATGGTGAATGATCCATGTATGCAGAAGTCCTGGCTCTGGACTGTGGATGCCAGTGCTCCATCCACAACACTACATGGCCTCCATCACAGAAGGAAACAAAGTATGGGGACAAGGTAGGTGGGTGATCTGGCACATGAGGGATAACCCATCTCTTGAATGGAGTGCTATGTATAATATTTCCATGGCTAATCTATATATGGTCAAAAAAAGGAGACTACAGGACAAAAATACAATTTCCCTCCCCTCTGGAGAGGCTCCACTACTGCCACACAGACTGCTGAGCTGGCAGCGAAGCATCCCAGGAAAAAACCCAACAAAATATGAAAAGAATGCAGAACGCTTTTTCATCTTCAAACCAGTCTGTGTCAGAACAAAATCCACCTCATTCAGTATAATGAGTCTAACTTTCATCAATAGGAAGGTAGGGGAAACCCTGTGAAGCAACTGAGTGGTCACAGCTCCCCAAAGCAGGTTTTTCTCAGCCCAGCAGGCAGAGGAGGTGGTTTACCCTTGGACAGCATTAGTGCCTTTGCTTACCGGTTCAGTTCCCTTTTCTCTTGTAACATAGAATTGCTCCGGAGTCAATTTTTTTTTCCAGTCTGTAGCAGCACTTGCTTCAGCTTGTTTAGTCAGAGACCCTTTGTCTTCAATTAGATGTAGAAAGATAATTAGTATTATTTTTAACACCATTTTAATTTAGACTGCGTCGATGCTTTCCATCATCATCTTAGTTCTCCCCAAGTTTCTATGGGTACAGACAGAGCACAGCGAACAATTCAGGGACATGAGCAGGGGGGAATGCAGGACGTTGCATCTGCTTTCCATTTGATGTGCTACATCTAGACAGCAGCTCCAGCAAAACACTTGGGAAGGCTTATAATAGAAACAGGCACCTATGACCCAAAATACCTCCCACTCTCCCTGCACAACCTTCTGTTCTGGCTTGGGATAACTGCTCGTGCAGTTCTCCTGCTCCTTCCTCATCCCTGGGTATCACTAAAAGGTTTGGAGTTTGTCTCTTGGAAACCCTCAGAAACCAGAACTAATGTTCATCTGTGAGCCATTGAAGACTAGCAACTTTCACAGGCCCCAGTGAAAAGCAGTGCTAAGAAGGAGCACTGGAAGAAAGAAACACCCAGAGACCAAAAGAAAGGGGCTGTAGTTAAGTGAGGGACCCACAACAGGAGGGCAGAAGTCACCCATTACAGTGCAAAACTCCAGCAACGCCTCCTGAGAGTCCGTACACACAATGTAGAACATTTGTGGTGGTATGGAATTGGCAAAGAATTAACAGATTGGCTGAAAAACAGCGAGTAAAATAGATTAATACGTTCCTAATCAAAAAGTCTGAGGTGGGGAACTGTTTCCCCGCCTGTCTCCGATCAGCACGGGATCTTCGAAAAACAATCAGCTCCTGAGCGATGCTTGCCTGCACTCATCTCTTGCAATGCAGGGGTGAGATTTGGCAGAGGGGTGTGTGAATTTGAAAATTATAGTTCAACCAAAAACCCCAGAGTTTAGCCGTCCAGTTCAAGAGGAAAACCTACAGCATGCTAACCGGCCAGAAGACACCGAGGACGGGGATGCCCTCCCCTTGCAGCGTAGCTCCTGCTCCTTCCCCCCATTCCCAAGCTCCAGGCAGGGGATTACCTGAGCCTCTGGGTACCCGTGCCCCTGTGGGTCCCTGTGGGGGTTACCTGTGCCCCTGTGGGTACCCGTGGGGGGTACCTGTGCCCCTGTGGGTACCCGTGGGGGGTACCTGTGCCCCTGTTGGTACCCGTGCCCCTGGGGTACCCGTGGGGGGTACTTGTGCCCCTGTGGATACCCGTGCCCCTATGGGTACCCATGCCCCTGTGGGACCCTGTAGGGGGTCCCTGAGCCCCTGTGGGTCCCTGTAGCAGGTCCCTGTGCCCCTGTGAGTCCCTGTGGGGGGTACCTGTGCCCCTGTGGGGGGTACTACCTGTGCCCCTATGGGCACCAGTGCCCCGGGGGTACCTATGGGGGGTACTTGTGCCCCTGTGGATATCCGGGGGGGGGGGGGGGTACCTGTGCCCCTGTGCATATCCGTGCCCCTGTGG